TAACTACACTTGCTTAACCCTGCTTAACTTTGCCTAAGATCACAACTACATAGCCATTCATAACACCACACTCCACTTCCCAATAATTATTACCAGTATGACACTACTCTGATCTGAGTAATAAAACATTGCTGATATATTACTCAGACATCTCTTTCAAAGGAATGCAGTTGCTGAGCCAAGCTACATCAAACTATTCCAGAGAAGCTTTCTTTTTGTAACTAAGGTATAGTGTAAGTGCAGCACAAAGCATCTTTATGGCTCAGTCAAACTACACAAGACAATGCCACACATCAAGAGCTCAAGCTAGTCAAATTAAGTGCAGTGAATGCTTGGTGCATTAAGAGCCAGAATGTAAATGCAGATGATGATAATGATGGTGACGATGATGATGACGATGAGGATATTTTGTGATGTACATACCTAATCTGCATTACACGTATAAGGTAATTTGACCGCAGGAATTTGCCAATAACTCTGCACCTACATGTACACCGAAAGGCGATAAGTTGCAGCATCTGATTGCGCATGTTTAGCCTCAGATTACTAGTGGTGCCAAGTGATTTGAGGGTTTCAAGAAAAGCTTTTTTTAGCAGTGAGCAATACTTTAACAGTTTATAAGACAACAGCATTATTAAGCAAGAGCATTGTTAAAAAACAGAGTATATAAATGTGTGAAATAACATCTAATGTAAACCCCAAATGCTAAAGAGCAATGTACTTGTGTTCTTACATTGATCAGAAAGAAGCCATAAATAAAAGGAAGAAACTTGATGTACATCAAGACTCTCAGAACAATATGAAATAAATTTTACTGTGATGACTAGCAAAAGAACTCACAGTTTAATCAGTAAACCTAAAATGGTCAATTACTGTTATGAAAGTAGCACAAATTAGCTAATGCTGTACATGAGTCAGGACTCCATAAATTAATTTGCCTTGAAGCAGCATAGTTAGAAATATACTTCTCAAACTCACTTATCAAACATGAAAGACCGAGTTTGACCACATTTCCAAAAACCTTGCAGTTAATCAAAAATATTTGGCTACACATTGTATTTTCAACTCTCTTCTCAGTGTTTGGAAATGTGATTAAATATGATATTTCATGTTTGATCTACAACTTAACAACTGTCTAAAGATTAAACTACCAACAGGTGATACACTGTATTAATTGCAGCAATACCTTTCTCTTTCTTCTAGCTTCTGTTCCTCCATTGGTCTTTCTTCCCAGTTCCTTTCATCATCTTTCCAATGATTATAACTTGCCCTGTCATACCCAGACTCTTCCTTAGTGAAATTGGAATGATTCTGATCCCGTCCTGGGGATGTCATAACATGTACAACAGAACTTGTAAACTGCTGCTTTGGAGGAGCAGAGGAAACATCAGAGGCAAGGACCCTGTAGCCTGATGGAGCAGAATCCAGAATCTCCTTGTTACGTTGAGGTTTTACATAACCAGACTCAAGATTCTGATGGCCAATAGAGGAATCACTGTCAACACTTGATCGCCTTAATCTTTTATCTGACATTGGTCCATTCATTGCTATCACTCGAGATGAAGGGTTTTGATCCCTTGGTTGTCTCTGTACATCGTTTCTTTCTCTTTGGGATGGTTTAGACAGATGTTCCAAATTAACATCGAGACTTGGGATCTTCTGCTTATGAACAGCTACCGGAGATAACCTGGGGGGAGTTTGAGACCTGGTTGACGTTGGTACCTCGAGACCAAATTTCTTTCGCATTTCCATGTTCTCTTTTGTTAGTTTTTCCACCTTCTTTTCTAGAGTTCTCTTCATGCGAGAAAGCTCCAACGATTTCTCCATAGCCATATCATTAAAAACAGCATTTGACTTCTCTAGGTCCTCCATAGCCTTTTCAGCCATTTGAGTCTTTTCCTGTGCAGTCGTTTTTGCTTCTTCTGCCTCTCTCAAGTTTTGCTTTGTTAGTATTAGCTCTTTTCTCATCTCATCAACTGTAATTCTCAAGTTTTGCAGTTCTGATCCTTTATTTGTCTGCAATTGCAGTACCGCATTCAACTCCTTCTCAGAGGACTTCAATCTCTCAGACATGTCTTGTATTTCTCTTTGTAGTCTCTGCTTATCTTTTTGTTCACTCTCACAAGCTGTGGACAACTCTTTTCTTTGTTCCTCAAAATTCTTTCTCAAAAGTNTTCTGAAAATGACAATAAGTTTCATGGCAGCTATGAGTACAAATGCATACATTGTACCTCACCTTCAACATCAGAGAATTTCCATTTTGATCTCCACTCACATTCAATCTTTTCTGCAAACTTTCAACTTCTTCTTCAAGGTCTTCTCTGTCTAATTCCAGCTGCTCTTTCAAGGATTTCAACTGTTTTGTTTCCTTCTTCAAGCTCTCATTTAATTTCTGCATTTCAGTGAACTTAGAGTGGCATGTTGTCAGTTCCTTAGCCATATTATCTTCTGACTGTTCAGCCATTTGAAGCAGTTTTTGCAAGTTTGCATTCTCATCATGTAGCAGTTCTAGTTCTCTTGTCATTAAATCTGAAGGAACACCATCACAATCAGCATTCTGTTCCTTACTCCTTAAGTTCTCATTCTCTAAAGTCAACTTGTCAATCTCGGCTTTCAAAGCCATGTTTTGTTGCTTCAGTTTTTTGGATAGAGGATACAGACCATCAATCTCCTCACCATTTTCAACATCATCTGAATTATCTAGCATTGTCTTTAAGTGATCCACTTGGCCACGAAGACCATCACACTCTTCTTGTAAAGCGCCCTTCTCAAGTGCCAGATCTGAAGAATTAAGCACATGATTCTGGATTTCTGTTATTGTTTCTTCAATGTCTTTCAGTAAAGAATTCCTTTCCATTTCAACAACAGACCTCTCCTCTTCTAGCTTACTGGTGCTAGAATAATGATCCTCTATTTCTGCAAGACTGTTTTCTATTTCTTGAACTAGCCGATCTTTCCGCAGTACAAGTGGTGTTCCATTAGAGGAGTCCACTCCATTGCCGTTCTCCAACACAAATAAACCTTCTGAGCTCTTGATCAGACTTGGATTGTGGTCACTTCCGAGAAAGAGATCTGTATTCTTCTGTTTTGCTGTGTTACTGGATGTAGAGTTTTGATGCAAAGAGGGAACAACTTTCTTGGGCTTTTGAATTTTGTTGAGTACTAGAGAATCCACAGAAGATCCATTTATCATCTCCTTCGGCATGCTATTCTGCACAATGAATTATATCAAGCAAGGTTTTCACTAGACAAGGCCTTGGCAGGACACAGATAAGCTGAATAGTAATGTACTTGCAAAGACCTGAAACAAAACACAGAAATAAGCACAAATGTCATTATTTTGTGGACCAAAATTTACAGTGACTGCACTGTACATGTATGTCATAGATCTCTTAGTTTACCAAGTATTCTTGTCTGTGCAAAGTGCAGCTGAAAAAGTCTTTATCAAGGAAATTTGGCTTATACTTGTATATTACAGGTATCAGGAAGTTCACATGCAATACGATACACTAATTGTTATTGAACTAGGGGTAATTTATATCATGAAATAAATCATGGTCATGGTCAGCACTCAGGATATATTGCACAATGTTGGTTGTTAATAGCTGTTATACTCAGTTTCTACCAATCATGCCCAGCTAGATAATTTTGATGTGTCAAACAAATTATGAAAGATTAATGGATTACAACAGACAGACTGATTTTGAGACTTTCAGTCTCCAGACCTCTTCACCCCTATCATATCATGAGCTAGAGGGCTCTTGAGTTATTTATAACAATACCCGCATTCACGATATTTACATTCAATTTGATGAAGAACTGAAGTGTAACTGTATTGCTCAACACTTTTACCACATGCTTGACAAAGTACTTGAAATGTTTCTTTAATTAATATCTGCAGGTAATACTGAAACTGCAACCTTGAAACTGACATCAATCTTCTTCGGTGCAGGAATCAAAATAGTAACACATATTATCCTTTTCAAAATTCTATGACGCAAATCATGGAATAATTATTATTCCACCATTTGCATCAGAGGAGAGAACTATTAATAATGAATATGAAATATATATTGAGTCTCTTAAAAGGGAGGAACCTTACAACAAGTATTACTTTTAGCAGACAAATTTTTGTTAAGACATTTGTGGTACCTAAATGAATGTTGCCAGCTGCAATTGCATCCATCGCTATTTTTAACCTGACGGATAACTAATTTCAGAACTTTAAAATCTAATAATGACCAGACATAAGTCAATAACTCATAGGCTATCTACATAATTAATTGTCATTGATATTGCTAAGAAATAACCTTGTGATCACTCAGTGTTAGCAGTACATGTAAATGACTACACTTCGTGCCCACCAATCGTGGTTGGCCATACATTTAGATGTGTCAAACAAGTCCTTTTGATGTTAAGCTGTGAAGCGCTATTATTGTTCCCCTTGGTGTAATATCCTTTTAGGTACACGTGTAGATGAGTGAATAGCAGCAACACCTGAACATTCTAAAATTGACCTCATTGCCTCAAGAAGACTAGAAAAATTGTGATTAGAGCATTGTGATGAACTCTGTCATGAAGAATACACATTCACCTACCAAGTCTCTACTTAAGTTAGCCATAATCTTTAAATTCATTATCATACATAGACAGACTGGTACTTGGATAAGGGGCAGTTGCTATATTAACAGCCAGCCAACCATGATGACCTCAGTCTCAAATTAATGCGCTCAGCACCTTGCTGACTGTGACTGATCAGTCTTTCTTTCAGCACTAATGACATATGTACACATGCAAAACTAAGACACTTCTTCCTATAGATGAGAGGACAATTTTGTTTACTAAATAAAACAAATTTTGGTTATAAATTGCATGTATCCTACACTATAGATTAGACCTTATGTATCATTGGCACTTTGGTCCCTGTAGTTATTTAATTACTTACAATGTTTACAAAGACGTCTGCAACCTTGACTATTTTGTATTCAATTTAAGCATCTCAAAATTAATATGCTTATCATAAGTAGCAGAAAATATTGCTCATGAGGAACACTTCAAAACATTTCAGCCATTCCTCACCTTTCAGGCGTCAAATTTTAATTACAAACTGACCAATGGATCAAATGTTTTAGCACTAGTTAGAAATTAGAATACTGCTTATATTATACAAATATAACGTCGCTTATTCCAGACCTCAACTGACACCTATTTGGAATGTACTGTCTCTTATTCATTTTTAGTCAAAATAATTTTTTGAGAAAATATTTCTCAACAGACAACTTCTTTGGATATGTAACACCCTCCTAATCAAAGCCCTGTAAAACTAATTATTCTATATTAGATAAACANTTCTGAAAATGACAATAAGTTTCATGGCAGCTATGAGTACAAATGCATACATTGTACCTCACCTTCAACATCAGAGAATTTCCATTTTGATCTCCACTCACATTCAATCTTTTCTGCAAACTTTCAACTTCTTCTTCAAGGTCTTCTCTGTCTAATTCCAGCTGCTCTTTCAAGGATTTCAACTGTTTTGTTTCCTTCTTCAAGCTCTCATTTAATTTCTGCATTTCAGTGAACTTAGAGTGGCATGTTGTCAGTTCCTTAGCCATATTATCTTCTGACTGTTCAGCCATTTGAAGCAGTTTTTGCAAGTTTGCATTCTCATCATGTAGCAGTTCTAGTTCTCTTGTCATTAAATCTGAAGGAACACCATCACAATCAGCATTCTGTTCCTTACTCCTTAAGTTCTCATTCTCTAAAGTCAACTTGTCAATCTCGGCTTTCAAAGCCATGTTTTGTTGCTTCAGTTTTTTGGATAGAGGATACAGACCATCAATCTCCTCACCATTTTCAACATCATCTGAATTATCTAGCATTGTCTTTAAGTGATCCACTTGGCCACGAAGACCATCACACTCTTCTTGTAAAGCGCCCTTCTCAAGTGCCAGATCTGAAGAATTAAGCACATGATTCTGGATTTCTGTTATTGTTTCTTCAATGTCTTTCAGTAAAGAATTCCTTTCCATTTCAACAACAGACCTCTCCTCTTCTAGCTTACTGGTGCTAGAATAATGATCCTCTATTTCTGCAAGACTGTTTTCTATTTCTTGAACTAGCCGATCTTTCCGCAGTACAAGTGGTGTTCCATTAGAGGAGTCCACTCCATTGCCGTTCTCCAACACAAATAAACCTTCTGAGCTCTTGATCAGACTTGGATTGTGGTCACTTCCGAGAAAGAGATCTGTATTCTTCTGTTTTGCTGTGTTACTGGATGTAGAGTTTTGATGCAAAGAGGGAACAACTTTCTTGGGCTTTTGAATTTTGTTGAGTACTAGAGAATCCACAGAAGATCCATTTATCATCTCCTTCGGCATGCTATTCTGCACAATGAATTATATCAAGCAAGGTTTTCACTAGACAAGGCCTTGGCAGGACACAGATAAGCTGAATAGTAATGTACTTGCAAAGACCTGAAACAAAACACAGAAATAAGCACAAATGTCATTATTTTGTGGACCAAAATTTACAGTGACTGCACTGTACATGTATGTCATAGATCTCTTAGTTTACCAAGTATTCTTGTCTGTGCAAAGTGCAGCTGAAAAAGTCTTTATCAAGGAAATTTGGCTTATACTTGTATATTACAGGTATCAGGAAGTTCACATGCAATACGATACACTAATTGTTATTGAACTAGGGGTAATTTATATCATGAAATAAATCATGGTCATGGTCAGCACTCAGGATATATTGCACAATGTTGGTTGTTAATAGCTGTTATACTCAGTTTCTACCAATCATGCCCAGCTAGATAATTTTGATGTGTCAAACAAATTATGAAAGATTAATGGATTACAACAGACAGACTGATTTTGAGACTTTCAGTCTCCAGACCTCTTCACCCCTATCATATCATGAGCTAGAGGGCTCTTGAGTTATTTATAACAATACCCGCATTCACGATATTTGCATTCAATTTGATGAAGAACTGAAGTGTAACTGTATTGCTCAACACTTTTACCACATGCTTGACAAAGTACTTGAAATGTTTCTTTAATTAATATCTGCAGGTAATACTGAAACTGCAACCTTGAAACTGACATCAATCTTCTTCGGTGCAGGAATCAAAATAGTAACACATATTATCCTTTTCAAAATTCTATGACGCAAATCATGGAATAATTATTATTCCACCATTTGCATCAGAGGAGAGAACTATTAATAATGAATATGAAATATATATTGAGTCTCTTAAAAGGGAGGAACCTTACAACAAGTATTACTTTTAGCAGACAAATTTTTGTTAAGACATTTGTGGTACCTAAATGAATGTTGCCAGCTGCAATTGCATCCATCGCTATTTTTAACCTGACGGATAACTAATTTCAGAACTTTAAAATCTAATAATGACCAGACATAAGTCAATAACTCATAGGCTATCTACATAATTAATTGTCATTGATATTGCTAAGAAATAACCTTGTGATCACTCAGTGTTAGCAGTACATGTAAATGACTACACTTCGTGCCCACCAATCGTGGTTGGCCATACATTTAGATGTGTCAAACAAGTCCTTTTGATGTTAAGCTGTGAAGCGCTATTACTGTTCCCCTTGGTGTAATATCCTTTTAGGTACACGTGTAGATGAGTGAATAGCAGCAACACCTGAACATTCTAAAATTGACCTCATTGCCTCAAGAAGACTAGAAAAATTGTGATTAGAGCATTGTGATGAACTCTGTCATGAAGAATACACATTCACCTACCAAGTCTCTACTTAAGTTAGCCATAATCTTTAAATTCATTATCATACATAGACAGACTGGTACTTGGATAAGGGGCAGTTGCTATATTAACAGCCAGCCAACCATGATGACCTCAGTCTCAAATTAATGCGCTCAGCACCTTGCTGACTGTGACTGATCAGTCTTTCTTTCAGCACTAATGACATATGTACACATGCAAAACTAAGACACTTCTTCCTATAGATGAGAGGACAATTTTGTTTACTAAATAAAACAAATTTTGGTTATAAATTGCATGTATCCTACACTATAGATTAGACCTTATGTATCATTGGCACTTTGGTCCCTGTAGTTATTTAATTACTTACAATGTTTACAAAGACGTCTGCAACCTTGACTATTTTGTATTCAATTTAAGCATCTCAAAATTAATATGCTTATCATAAGTAGCAGAAAATATTGCTCATGAGGAACACTTCAAAACATTTCAGCCATTCCTCACCTTTCAGGCGTCAAATTTTAATTACAAACTGACCAATGGATCAAATGTTTTAGCACTAGTTAGAAATTAGAATACTGCTTATATTATACAAATATAACGTCGCTTATTCCAGACCTCAACTGACACCTATTTGGAATGTACTGTCTCTTATTCATTTTTAGTCAAAATAATTTTTTGAGAAAATATTTCTCAACAGACAACTTCTTTGGATATGTAACACCCTCCTAATCAAAGCCCTGTAAAACTAATTATTCTATATTAGATAAACAATTACATATTCTGCAAAGGCATTAAATTTGTCTGCACAAAACAAGCAGGTTCCACCATTGTCAAGAGAGTGAGCTACTACCAACTTTATATACCAAGTACAATCATAGTACATTCTGAAAAAAATGTGCTTGATACTTTTCTTTGCAATACAGATTAAACAAGCAAGTCCTGACCAAAATACTGTGTACATAATTTGATTTAAACAGAATGAAAACCTCATGGTTGTAGTATTGCTGAAAACAAAAACACAGACTTTTAAACCTTGCAGGTCAGAATCTTTTTCACTTGGCACAGGAATCAAAATCATAAGACTGTATAAACAGCCCCTTAAATAAAACAGATGCAATGAAAGATCAAAACTTGCACCTGGAAAGTGCAGTAAACAGCTGTGTTTTTGAATATCTATATGTGCATAGATATGAGGTCTTTGCCCATCACAGGCCAAGGCACAGCAGATATCTGATTCAGGTCGACATGGGTCAATTCATATTAATAGCAACCTATATGATCATCACACAATTTGCCGAAAATAACATTTACGACCAGCACCACAGAGAGTGAAACACTGATAATCCTAATCAACTATGGAATTCTGCTATACAATTTAAATTGTGCAACTCAAAATTATGTTTACACAACTAAGATCTTGATAAATTAAACATATTTTCAACATCTCTATAAAACCATAGCAGCTGTGATGTTACTGAATATAAATAATGATATAAATCAAGGTAGGAAATACAACTGAATGAAATCAAATAATATTATTGCAGTTTAAATCATACTTATCTATCATTTCAATTATTAGTAGAAGAATTGAATTATTAAAGGGGTGGGGTGAACAAATAAATAATATTTATAGGAGTCCAATTTGGGCTTAAGAGACACTACAGATAATAGCTTCTTCTTTGTCGACTTTTTCTTGTTGAAGCATGTTACTATCAGAAAATGAATGAAGTAAATCTAATATTTTGTTGCTTGAGCAAAACGCTAAGAAATGGACATTGGTATAATTAATCTGTTATTGCAAATTCTAATTTTCTGCTGATGTGAGCTGAGATGTCCATAGCCTACATGAAGTACTTTTTATCTGAAACCATCGTAAACAAATGAGATTCATTTTGGTTGGAAGTATGAAAACTACTATCAATTTGCTGGCTGATCCAACGAAATAACAAAAATAATCGTTTTATCAGAAAGATGAACTGAAGAAATAGGGATCGGAAATACCTTAGACAAGACAACATGGACTCCCTGTCAGTTCAAGGCTATAGAATTAGCGGCCAAAACAAATAAACTGATGAACGGTATGTGCAAGTCATGCTTACAAGCGGAGAACACAACCTCGGGATCTATACATCACTGATTTTCCTCGTTTAATTCACGTCATACTAACGAAACAGAACGTTGCGGAAGAAGCTCGTAACAATGCTTCGCACGAAATTTCCGTGGACGAGTGACCTTGGTTGTCAAAATTGTCACGAACCGACAGTTAAATATAGACAGACCACTGTGACATGAATTTTCCTCGACATCCAGGGTTTTAGCAGTCCAGATAAAGAAGAAAGTATTGAGCTAACTATATCATAGACGATCGTTTAGCTATTTTCGGGAAACGACCACATAATCTGGAACAATAAGGAAACGTTGTGTCGCAAATCGAAATTTGATCGCATCGCGAGTGACGCATATGACACAGAGTGCGTACGAAAAACTGAAAATTATCAAATTCTCACCAACTTAGAATAATTCTGGCGGATAACCAGAATTTATTACACTAGTTTACAGTGCACCGAGTCAGTTCATCTTTAATATCAGAGTCTGTGAGCAAACTGTCCGCTAAAAAACACCACCAAAAATAAATCCGACCGCTTACTGCATTGCGTACGGTTTCTAAGCTGAACTCACCTCGTCCGTGATTTTTTGTCGTCAAATTATGTGCCTCCGTCGATCGTAATCGTTGTAAACTAACTTTTGAAACTGAGTTAGCTACGTTTCAGAGGATATTAACTCAGCTCCCGAAAATTCCAGTACACTCACTCGAGATAAACTTCCTCCTCTATCAACTCACACTGAACATTGCGCGATCCGGAACTCCGCTTCGAAACACCAAACACTTATCTATTCTCTGATTGGTCACTCGCAAACTAATGACTTATCATTGGTATTTGCAAGATAATAGAGTGTTGGAAGCCATTGAAAAGCGGCAAAGCTTGATAAAGGGTTTCTTTTGTTCTCAACAATCAGCATTACACGTGAAATTTTAATTTTGATTTCAAAATAGAGATAATAAAGTTTTTGAAAGAGGTGTTATGGCTCCCCTCATCACTTGCGTTCATAAATATACCACCCTGGTTGCAAGAGTGTAAACTGTTGGTACCCGGAGCTGGTAAATTAAGCTGAAAATTTATCAAATTTTCTGATCTTCAGGTATAAACCTGATATAACAAGGCGATATTGTATTTATGGTAGACTAAATTCTTAGAGTATGACCATTGACAAATGTATCAGAATTTGGTTGATCGTAAATCTAAGAGTGAAAAGTCCCCATCCCCTAGATCTCCCACTAGATCAACATAATGTAAAGTGTAAAACAGTAAATGAAAAAAAAAAAGTACTAAACTACAAAGGATCAATACATTGAGCCCCCATACTTTGTGGGTGGTCCATATATACAGATTCAAGAACCTTGAAGAACCCTTTTAGCATAAACACGATATTCTCTACGTGGTATAATTTTTTGTTTTTATCCTATTATTTAAAGGCTGGTTTATAAATTAAAATTTAAATCTATATAA